ACAGACAGACAGACAGACAGACAGACAGACAGACAGACAGACAGACAGACAGACAAATAGAGGGGTGGAAGGAAGGGGGTGTTGAGGTTGGTAAAGATTATTTCTTTCCCAGGCCTTATTGTCGGATGAAGGAGGCAGAAACACCGCCTCCCAAGAATAATTACCCCATCGCACATGATAAAGCGAGGTGGTGAGAAACTCACAGGAATAGAGTGCAGCGTGAATGATGCTAGGCTACAAGATCAAAAATAAACTTTTCTTGCAGTTCTAAGGGGAACTCATCCATCTTTCGGAACCATTTCCTGTGCACTGGAACATTTTTATTTTCTGAGCAGCTAGGTACGGTATCTCTTTAGGTGCCCTGCGGGAATTCATATAAAAATAAACCATGCATCCAATCTCATTAGGACAGATTTATGTCTTATCTGGGCTCGGAAACGTAGTCTTTTTCCCCCCACAGATAAGACTTTTGGTAGTCTCCGCTGATTTCGGTTTATATTTCCCTGACGAAATTAGCAGGCGCCTGTTGGGACTGATAGCTGTAACTAAGAAACCACGTGTCAGTTTGAAACTTTCTAGATTGGGCAATTATAAGTGAGTACACATAGCATTCAGCTCGCGTGTGTTTGTTCGGATTTTAAAAAAATATTGGTGTTTTACGTCATCATCGACACAATTTAAATCATTTAGGAGGCGGGCTTCCCAACCTGCCTAGATCTATCTGGGTCAAAGCGGACTGAGAGAGATACATCTTCCCAACAGAAAGAACGAGATGCTCAATAAAAATTAAATGTTTTCCTCACTCGAAAATCCAACTCGGGTCTCATGCGTGTGACAGCCAAGCGCTTAACCACTAGACTATGTCTGTGTGTATTTTATTATGTAATGTCCCGAGTCCTGACACTCCCAAAGGGTTATCACCACGCCACACGGTTAACTTGATACAGTTACAAGAGTCATTTTAGCAGTGATCATCGTATCAAAAAGAATGAAACAGAATAGCAGCATTACACTGGTTCTATCTAATTTCTACATCTATCTCTTTTGCATTTATTTTTTTCTGCCTTTTTTTCTGCCTTTTTTTTAAATTTATTTTTTTTAGAAATGTGAAACGGTATAGGTTTAACGCCCCTATCAGTACCATTAAGTTATGTAAGAGGCAAAATCATTTGTGAGTCCACTTTCAAAAGAATGCAAAATCCCCGTCAAACGCAAACTGTTTGAACAGTAGCTCTGTAGGGCGGGCTTAGTTCCATAAGCTTACCCGCCATAACATGCACGTTTACACGCTGTCTGATCTGTTCTCCATGAGAGAGGTTGCCAGCTCAGCAAATGTCATGGTGTTTAGTTTTAGTTAAAGCTTTATGGCACTTACAACACAATAAGGTCATATAAGTGCCGAAGATTAGAGGTGTTACAAAAGAGTTACACACACACACACACACACACACACACACACACACACACACACACACACACACACACGCATACACACAACGAGAAGAGATAGGGACGGTAGATGTTTGATAAGAAAGAAGGTGCAAACCACATCAGAGCACCTGCCAACCACCCACCTATGTACGTCATGTTAAACTGTTGATCTGCTAGAGACCTGACTCCATTCTCAAAACAAGGCGTCCTTGACTATGAAGTGTTTAAGTTCTTGTGGTTCCAGACATTCATGCAGATTGATTGTAATTGTTTTAGCCCCAATCGACCGGCGTCTATTGTGTAGAGGCCAGGCGCTTTGCCGTGGCTCGCAGAAGACCGGAGTTCGATTCCCGTGGGGGGAGAGCTTTTATCGGGTGTCCAGATCTTTCCGCTAGAACGCTGTATCCCTTTATTTAGTCCAGATTGGCTATGTGAGAC